CCAGCCAAACAGGAAGTGAACAACTGGATGTTTTTTGTCTTACAAGCATCTACCTCATTCTTCCAATAGAAACTCCTCACAAAGAGCTAAAGTGCAATACAATACTATGTAGTGACAGCATACCAGGGAGAAAAAAGGGTACAAATTCAAGCTAATATATATTGTTAAGGGGGATACACTATTCTGGTAAGAACCTACAAGTACATCTCCGCTCTACGAAAACGGGTGAAACTAGGTAACTTGGTACATACATCAGCATAACACTAGCACTAACAAGAGGTGCAGGTAATAGTAATAAAACCCATCAGCAATTAAAAGACTGATCTTCTCAAGTTGTGCCCCTCCCTCCACGTCTGAAAACACACAACACTCATACACACAGTCTCGAGGAACGCAATTGTCTACAGGCGAGAGCACCAAGAGTGATTACCGACAGTTTCTTGCATAGGTCACAAGTGCGTGCACATTCAGTTGAAACACTGCCATGCAAAAAGTGCCTTAGTGGGGGAGGGCTGAGCTTTGGGGAATGAAAATGAGGAAAAATGTCCAGCCGTGCATCAGGTATTACGCCAGCTTATGCTATGGGAGGAAAGGAGAGACTGCATTAAAAAATTTACCCGGCAACATCGTTAAGAGCAGCAATTTAAAGTTAAAAAGGCAAAATATAAAACAAAGTTCCTATCACATATTAGCATTCTACTGCATTGTTCATTAAACTCCACACCAGCAACAGGTATTGCATCAAGTGATGAGCAAATTAGGGTCAAATAAACCTTGAAAGGTACGAGATGACCGTATACTAGCGACCAGGAGGTTAAATTCCATATTACCGAGATATTCGAGAACACAATTTTTCTTCACAGTTTACAAGGGAAACTATAGTCTGATAGAGTTTGTTTTACACCTATGTGAGAATATGATCAGCTTGATGTAGGTAATGTTATGAATAAGAGCTGACATTATAAAACCATTTTTCAATGTGTCATTAGGAAACAAATATCTATGCGTGAGCATCCAAATGTGTTCATTACAAGTGCAGATTGGTCTACCAGTTTAGTAGTACTGCACAATGACTGAACTGCATTGTTGCTCTCTCGCAGTGCAGTCTAAGGCTGGCGAAGCCAAACTACGGTCTGCTATTCGGTGAATATGCTTAAATGATGATATGTGTCTGTGCTCTACCTATGTTTTTTGTGTGATTATCTGTCATGAAAACTCTAAAATAAAGAAGAAAGAAAAAACCAGTCTAAATGCACCCAAAGACATGGAAGGATAGATGTGTGGACATAATCCAAATGTCCTCAGGCACACCTAATACCCGGCACACAAGCACAATTGCTTGGCAAACCCGAGCATTTGCGTTTAAGCGTATGGACATAGAAAAGGTAGTCACCCACACACTCCAGACCGGAATCCCAATTACATATGCAGAAGGGTGTGTGAATGACATGTGTCACCTGCACACCAAGGTCCAATATATCAATATGTCTTTGACGTCAGAAATACATGGTATCACATGTAGAAGCAACAATTCGGAACCTACAATGGTCCCTTCATCAGACATCACTATCAGGGTTATTCACTAAAGGGTGAAGGGTTTGGAGAAGGCCGGAGAAGTGAACAATCTAGGACAACATAGCTGATTTGGAAAAGTTCTCCAATTCAGCTCACTTTCCAGTTCAGCTATGTTGTCCTAGGTTGTTTACTTGTCCGGCCTTCTCCAAACTCTTCACCCTTTTGTGAATAGCCCTGTATGTCTTTGCCTGATGAAAGGACCATTGTAGGTTCCAAATTGTTGCTTCTACATGTGATACCATGCATGTCTGACGTCAACTAAAGACGTATTGATCTATTGAACCTTGGTGTGCGGGAGACTACCTTTTCTACGTTTGGATTTTTGCTGTGTCATCTGCATGTCATTCCAGCACCCTTCTGCATATGTAATTGGGATTCCAGTCTGGAGTGCAATGGGATATTTGCAATAAGTGCATGGACAGTGACAGGGAAAGCTGCATGCAGGTAACTTTAGTGATGAGCTTGTATCAATAGAAACAACAGCTGACGAGGTTTTGGAACACGTCCAATTGCTAAATCCTCTAAGAACTCTATATGAAGTGTTTAGATGTCATAAGACCTGAGCACTCTGTTGCTTGCAGCAAAATGCGTGTAGCTTGAAAAAGTACATAAGCTTCTTTTCAGGCTTTTTGTGCCACAGACTTAAGTGGAAATGTGTTTTTCAATGGAGCATTTTTGGAGTGGTTTTTAGGGCATTTCCCCATGATGTCACAGATGCTACTGCTTTCCACTGGGCCAAATAGAAAAACTGCCTAAAGCTGAACACTTGCAAAAACTCAAGAATGGTTTAAAATTGCAAGTATACGTGCAAAAAAAGCAGCACCTAGGTGTGAATGGTGCTCAGCTCTGGGCAACAACAATAATTTACAATGGCTAACCCCACCCTCCCCCGATGATGAATATATTGTTTGGTGATGATCTAATACAGAGGATTACTTGCCTCAATCTATGGTTCTGAAAACCTGTACTTCCAAAGCCGCTTTCCTTGTCAGTCTTGGCATCTTAAGTGACATCATCATGTACAATGTAGGACCAGCAGCCACTGCTGTGTGCCTCTCACACTTTGGCACCTGTAGAGCAGAGGAGTGCTGCCACAGGACCATTAGGTATGGTGAGTTTTCTTCTGTAATGGATCATTCCCTAGCAAAAAAAAACAACCCAAAACACTACATTGCTTATCAGCTAAATCGCAATGTAAAATTGCTTAAAGCAAAGATGCAAATCAAGTTTCCCAATATGCATGTCACTAATAGAGAAGACTTAACAAATCTGTGTATAAAAGATCAAAACATGGATCAGCAAGTAAGTAAAAATATGGAAGTCACAAAGAATTTCAGGTAAATGTTAAAATGATATAAACATGAACTTCCTGATCATAGACTAGAATTTCCCTTTAAACACATGAGCATACTGTTTAACCTTGTAATTGCCAAGCAGAAGGTGAGGCTGGGTTACAGAAGAGTTGAGCAGCATGATTTTGGACCAATTTCCCTCTGCTGTTCTTGTTGCAATGGAGACTCCATCACAATGTGCATTTCTTCTAATTTTGCAAGTTGCCTTTTTACATGTTTAACATCCGTAGGTTTGTTCTGCATTTGTTAATGATCAATAATAGCAATATTGCATTTTATTCATAAATGCAAGTTTAGATTTTAATACCTACTGGGGGCCACATGTACAAATATGCACCCCCAGTAATAGATTACTGCACAAAATTTACAACAGCATGGATCTTGTACATTACGGCTGTACTTTGCAGGGATATTTTGAAAGGATGTACTCTGCCAAACTGTTTGTAAATGGCAGCAACTGGCTGTTCTGATCCGCACCCTGTTAGTCTTCAGAAGTACAAGATCTCTACACTTCCATGGATGTCCTAAAAACCTTATGCATTACCAACTGAAACTAATAGGAACTGGTTCACCAAACAGTCAGTTGCAGACATGCACCCACCACGTTCCTACACAAACAAAACCAAGAAACGTGTACATATTCCTCCACTCAAACAGGAATTCCCAATATACGTCAAGCTCTATGCGTCCAATATCTGCTGTATTCAATATCACTGGTTAACCAATGGATTACCTAACTGAAACAATGCTAAAATCTCTCCTGCTTGAAAAATACTATTTGTTGTACATCGGAAGGTTAATAGACTTTATGTTTGTCGCTTGTCAACCATGCTATCACGTTTCGTCAGTCACAATTCGTTTTTTTAACACAGTTTCCTTTACTGAGGTCAAACATGACTTGGGAGGAAATACCGCACTAAACGCTAAACACTTGGGTGGTGCAGGGGACAGATAGCGAGAGGGATTATTGACTTAATCCACCCAATAAAAGCTATAAAGACCCAGCAAATTAAACTAAGTTGACTATACGCCAAACGTTAATGTTTGCCTATACACAGAAATAAAGCACATATTTCAAACCCAGGCTGCCGTTTTACAGCAGCCATCAGTCTTACGAGACAGCTACTATTAAAGGTTTATAAAGCAGATGTGGCACTCATTAAAGCCTAGGAATTTCTTGTACAAGGTAATGGCAGTAGATATTCAACTCCTACTGTCTCTTGGGGTTATAAAAAAAAAAAAAAAAAGGATCATGCGAATGAGGCTGTATAGACTGCAGATTACAGGAGAAGGTCAAGCACTAAGGGGATGATGTTACACATTAGGTGGGAGGAATACTGGGTTTGAGCTGGAGGAGATGAGTAATTGGACCTAGGAACTGAGCAGGGATACAATGCCCTCTGAGCATTGATTAGGGGTTTGGGTGAATTTCTGTACATGGATTTAGCGGAAGGTTGCCCGTCACGATACTAAATTAAAGCTGGCTATAGATGAATTTAGTAGACCAATTGAACAATAGAAGAGAAGACCATTCTGCAGTACAGCCATTGTCATAGATACCACTTTGGACATGACATGAGCATATGAATGGAGGAGAGCTAGAGGCTGTCATGATGAAAAAGAAGCCTTCAGGGATAAAGAAACAATGCTGCCCTTGGGGTGTGCATAGGAAACCACAAAAACCAGAATGTCATCCTTCGCTTGAGAAGTAAACTAACCTGTATCCTACTCTCCACTGTGCTGAAGTCATGGCCAGGCTTTGGTAAAGAAGAGATAAAAAGCAGCATTCGGTTGGCAGAAGTCCACCCATAATTCCCTTGAGAGTTAGAACAAGCAGGCAAGTTTTAGCAGGGCAGGCTGAGGACAGAGTTCATCTGCTGGAGAAGCATTCGCAGCAATCAACTCAACCAGCGGTAAACAAACTTTCTTAACACAACAAAAGTCAACGTCCATGCTGCAAGCATAGCTGGGAAAGAACAAGAACGAGAACCCTCCACTCCACAAATTAAAAAAAAGAAAATAATTAATAAAAAAAAACAAAAAAAAAAAAACTTTAAAAGTGCATACATTCCGAACAACGGCTGTAAGCAGGGACAGCTCTCCTGCAGTCATCTCCAGTCAGGACATGTGGTACAGCTGTCCCTGCACCCTTGGTCACTGAGCTTTAGAGGATGGCTTTGTTGAAGAAGGGAACTTTTTTAGGTATTTATCAGAAGTCTTTTTAGCACAAGGAGATGACTGGGTTTGTTTTTCATCTGGGGAAGACTTGGCTTTGTGCTGAGGTAAAACAGAATGTTTTTTTGGGTTTGGGGCAACCTCCTTGGTTGGCGAGACTGCAGAGTTGTCAGCTTTCTCCTGGCTTAAACTCTTGGTTGTAGGTTTCTTGGACTGTAGGTTGGTCTTTCCCAAATCTGCCGACCGTCTGCTTTCTTTTTGCCTTAGGGCAGATTTAAAAAAGCTCAGCCCTTTCTCCTCAGACTTGCTGTCCCGTTTGAGACCAGAACGAGGTGCATTTTGAGGAGTGCGGAGGCTGGCCATAGAGGAACTACGCACTGTCCGATTATCCACTGGAGACTCGCAGCTCCTGGGTTGTGTGGCGCGTGTAGTGCTACTGCTAGGTTTTGAGGCAGAGGTTTTGTCTGAGCCCAAGCTTACTTTAGACCCCTCCCTGCTAAGAGTCTTTTCAGGTGCTCGATGCTTGCTGGATGTGCTCGACACTGAGGAGTTCTTAGAAGTTGGGGTAGGTTTCTTCTGTGCCGGAGAGGAGATGTGGCTAGCGGTGGAACTTGAGGTTCTTTGCCTTTGTTGAGACACAGGTGTGGAAACTTCCTGTGGCTTCCCAGAGTCTTTCCGCTGTTGTGTAGATGAACGACGTGTGGGGGTTTTAACTTCACTCTTTTCACTTCTTTTTGATTTTGCTGTGGGTTTCCCGTTGCTACCTGCTGCCACTGAGGTGGGTGTAGAAGAGTCCTTCTCTGTTGCTCGTATTGTTTTACCCTGCTCTGCAGTTGTTTTACTGGTAACGGGCAATTTATGTTGAACTTCTTCAATCTGTGGGGAATTTTCCCTTACGGGGGAGGAATTTACAGAATCGCTTTGATCCACAAAGGCGATATGGTTATTATTATCGATAGGATCCAGTAGTGGGTTCCTGCCCACTAGCTCAGCTGCGCTCTTTCCAGTCGGCTCAGCTACAGGTTTTTTAATCACTGGTTCAGGCTGAGCACCACCTTCTGCTAATGCCAAGGGAGCCCGAGATGATGTCCGATACTCGCGTCTCACATTTTCAACGTGATCGTGGAAGCTGCCAGACAGATTTCGAAGGCTACCAAAACAGGATGTTGACACATGGTCATCAGCCTCACCGATTTTGCCGAGCGAAGAACCATGTACTGGAGAGTCTGATGGGTGGCGGCAGGAAGCAGCTGCTCGCAGGTGCAGTTTTGCTGCTAATGACCACGATGGTCTAAATCCATTCTCATTGGAAACCAGGGGACTGGTAACTGAAGATCGCCCTGAGCTTTGACGCTGCACACTTCTTACAAATGGACGTGAGGAGAAGCCACCTATCATGGAACAGAAAATAGCATTAAATCTAAGAACATCATTACTCCATAATGATGAGCACATTTGTAAACAATCTAAACAAATCATAGCTCTTTTCCTCATAACCCTAAGATAATCCAAGTGGTGCACAGGATGGCTTTGCCATGATATGCTAGAACTTTCCAAACTAAACTTCTTTAATGCCAAGGTTTTCTAATTAGATCTTAGTTATTTAATGTCTTTCTCCTTTGCCTCATAGGACTTCTGATGAAGAATCAGTTGAGAAAAATTATCTGCGATTACTAGAGAATAAACATTAATAGGCTTTTCCTCTTAGGTGAATACATTTCTGCAAATTCCAACACAACATCGGTCCTTGTGGCAAGAAAAGCAAAGTGTTCCACATCCATCATCCACACAGACTATATTCAGTGAAGCATTTGAGTCTGTAATCTAAAACCTACACCCAAATGAATATTTCAGTTTTATGTAAATGCTAATCTGCCATTTCTCTAGGAGACTGTAATCTCTGTAATAAAATATCTACAGTCCACCCACCTTCCATCACAGGCAGCTCTCACTTATTTTTTATTTAAAGAGAGTTGACGAGTAGAGCATGAGCTCTCCCTTTTCAGGTGTGATATGATATGCAGCTTGGGTCAGACATGGCGCACCTTGTTGCTGGGCTCCCAGAGAGAGCTAGTAGATTGTTACCATCACCAGTGTCCTTCTATGAGTGAAGTTCAAGTTTTGGGTAGACTGAACATTAATTTAGCTTCACTCACCATCATCTTCGCTTCTCTCTCCTGTCAGCTCCACAGACTCTGCCAGCGATGCCAGAGAGGTCCGTCTAGAAGACGCTGCAGAGGCAATACTAGGTTGTCTGCTCCCTGGGAGCCTGGAAATCCAGTGATCACAGAGTGATGAGCTTGTGGAACCTGTGGAGAACAAAAATGTACACAAATCAATTAATAAAACTATTGAAAAGTCTGGCAAAGGTCCCCAAGAAAATAATAATTGCGCACAGTTCGAATCAAAATAACATAATACCTGGTGATCCTGCCAGTGACTACCCCTTCCTCCAGAAGGCAGGCAACACTGTAGGGACAGCAGTAAATTTTCTGCAGCGCTGTCATCCCCACACAGAGTTGTGTCATCACACATGCTGAGGAGTGTTATCAGTATTGTCAAATTCTCACTGCAAATCAGAGCTGGCCACCTAACCCAACAGGGCAAAGTGCATCTGGAAGTAGTAACAAAGGGCACCGATTTGGATTATGTGTCCAACAGAGAGATGACCTCAGCGGCCCCTGTCATGAGGTTACAGGGAAAAAGAGGATTCCATCGCTCATTGGAGCAAGTTAAACAAATAAAAATAAATGGATTGGCATTTACTGAAAAGAGGTGTCAGAGGAAAAAGGGAATCCAAAGAAATGTATAGCCTTCACATGAAAATGAAATCCATTAAATGGAGAAATATGGAGAATGCCATTGGTGATCTCCTTCTCAAAATACTTAATTTCCTAATCACAGACCTGAAAAAAGAATGTAGCATGCAAAGTAAGAGTGCAGCTAAAAGGTCCCGATTTGTATACTTGTTACAGGTTAGAAAATCAAACTACTTAAGCCAAAAGATAAACATTATTTGCATAACTAGAGACAGCCACTGCTTGCAGAGAGAAGCCAGTCTGAGTCCATTTTGGGACTTTGTTTTCTAAACGGATAAGGGGTGTATTTAAAGTGTTTTAAAGATGTGCTGGGGTTAATTATACAAGGAATATGGTTTCCATTGTTGCATATAAAGCTTAACAGATATTTTAAACTACTTAAACAAAAAAATCATTAAAAAAAATTAAAGTAATCGAAACATACCCGTGTGTAGAATAAAATAGGGAAAACATTTAACGTAACCTTTGCCATCTAGACAAGACCTTCCTCCTCCTACAATACCCAATGTATGAATCTACTTGATCTAAAACTAGAAAAAAAGTTACTAGTTAGTATATATTATTACAGATAAGAAGCTATTCATATCCTTCTGTGAATACTTCTCATTGGCATTCCAAAGCACCAAATACATCCACAAATCGATGATCACATCTGCAATGTGCTCAAAATCCTGCACCCCATTTTGTTTAATTTTTCCTGTGACTGTCTTGCTCAGTAAAAAGTATAGATTATACATGCATATCCAATTCCAATGTTATCCCCCGCTGTAATATGGATTGAATTATCCTGTATGTTATTCATTTTCTGTAGTTGCTCTGGGTTTTTTACTAATAAAGCCGTTGTTTGAGAAAAAAAAAAAAAGAAGAAAAAAAAAACCAAAAAACACAATTCAGACCTCCGTAGAGGAAAACAGCTGATATTAGTAAAACAATTCACTATCTCTAAAGCTGCCCATACACCTTACAATTATCTGCAGATTTTCTGTGGTCAGATGGAAAAGGTGCAACAGATTCCTTCAACTACACTTAACTGTGTGGCTGGAGTAATCTCCACCTGGGCCAATCTGTTGCACTTTTTCAATCTGACCACAGAAAATCTGCAGATAATTGTAAGGTGTATGGGCACCTTTACAGTTCTTTATCGTGTTGGAAGCCAAAATTAACCTTCACCTACAGCTCCATCTGCTGGTGAAATATGTTACTGTGGCTAGCAGTATTGGGTGCATGCACTTTTCTGCTCAGGCACGAATTGATGTTGTATAGAGGGCTGCAAGAGATCAACTTCTGCATCATTACTTTGACAAATGAAATCTGTAAATTTATAAACAGCATAACCATTAATAAAAATAAGAATTTTGTATTTATTTATTTACACTAAAAATCCAGGACGAGTTCTATGGGGATGCTGACTTCATTTTCCAGCAGGACTTGGCACCTGCCCACACTGCCAAAAGCACCAAAACAACGAATCAAAGCCTGAACAAGGATGCATGACAAAAAGAGGAAGCAATTATAGAAATTGGCATTTAAAGGATAAAAACAATAGGAAATCAGGTGTTCCAGAGCAAGGTAGGTAGAGCTATGAAGTGGAGATTGCGGTCAGAAAGACTGATGACCTCAACAAGAATGTGAAGGACAAGTGTTCAATCCCCGTAAGGAAAATCAAGTGGAAGAAAATGTAGACCAACAATAAAAACGGTCAACAAAGAAACAAAAAGATGTTTCCTAAGGCAATACCCAATCCTTGACTTCGGGGGAAAACAAGAGACAAAACAATATATGTCCCGATCAAAGATTAACCAGTAAACAGCTGCGAGTTGTAGTGGAAAACCCCTAAGCCTTACATCAGGGATATGGGGATCCATGCTATACCAGCCCTCATAATAGAAAACTAAAGCAATAGAAGGAAAAAGAACTCGACTGTGAAACAAAGAAGAAGGATAGAGTACCAAGTCTTTTTTAAGGAAGGAGTGAAGAGATCCATAATACAAGGGAAGAAAAATCTAGATACATTTTAACCAAATAAAGTCACAGGGACTTCAGAACAAGAAGGATGGGGAGATCTTTAACTCGCATTGATAGAGAAGTGTGATTTTGACAAAGTTATTTCAATATCTATGAACAATCTGAAAGACAGAAGAAATGGGGTCTTCCTTCCAATAAACAGGTCCCATAAGGATCTCTGTACTTCTAGTTTTCTACCTAGGTGAACTCTGCAGTCAGGTAACAGAGTGCTATAACTAGCTCTTTCAGGGAAGAACAGAAGTAGCAAAATGGAAGTTTCCATGTGAGGAAAAATTGCATACGTGACCGGGGAAAAGTGTAGACCGTATGAGACCGTCAATGTTATCCTGTACGAGGAAATATATCAGTCAGTGAGAGGAAAGTAGTATTCCTCAAGTTCCTCACAAAGAGGGTACTGAACACGCTGTAAAAGGTATAAAGTCTATCTCATATAGAGATATCCTCATGACTTATAGAAGCAGACCTAAGTGTAGTAAAATTGAATATAGCCAATTTTTAATCATGATCTATTAAGCTTTCTACAACGGGAATCTAGGAAGAGGAGCAGTACTAGTGTGAGCATAAAAGAACGTGTTGTAGCAGAGCCCCAAAATCCTTAGGAAACAAGACCATCGAATCCAGTACAGTGTGTCTAGTCAGGAAAGAGTTGAACCAGATTCTTGAGATCATAGGCTTGGAAGATGGTGTGCCTGAGCCACCAAGAGATGGTAGACTGAAAATCCGGTACAGCCTTGTATGGTCCATCCAGAATTACAAAAAATGAATCCGTCTTCCTTAAAAAAAAGACCAAAGGTCTGTGAAACATTAGAAGGGGCAGAATCCTACCCCTTGATAATTCAAGGTGAGAGTTCTGGCTCCTCCCTGATAAATGATGTACAACGTAGCCATGGAATTGTCAGTCTGGATCTGGATTGGATGACTGTCCAAGAAAGATGGTCCAACACTGCAGAGACAAACCGCCCAAAGCTCCAAGATGTTGATCAGGAGCAGAGATGATTCCACCGAGCAAGTCCGCTATATAGCGACAGGGTGCCCAGGACTCCTCCCCAGTTCAACAGGCTGGCGTCCATAATGAGGTTCTTCCGAAGACGGGAAGACAGGAAGGAAGTACTTCGCCGACTTCAGAGCCAGATTCCTGAGCCATCAGGCCAGGGACAGCCTGGTGCTCCATGATAGGCAAAATCAGTCTGCATCAACTTGTCCCAGGATGATGGAATGCTGCGTTGCAGAGGTCTGGAGTGACACTGGACAAATGGCACTACCTCAAAAGAGGCCACCATCAGACCAAGGGATCTCATGTGAAAGTGGAGAATTGGACAGCTCCTGGACTAGAGAGTTCCAGCCTTAAGGTTGCCATACACTGTACAACCATCGCAAGACCTTAGTCTTGCGATGGTTGTAAAGTGATTTTAAAAAAACGTACAATCTGCCCATCTTGGACAGGCAGATCGTTCTCTCGATCATCGCAAGCTGCCCTCTTGAGGGGCGGGCTTACGATGACAGCAATGAGGGGCGGGCTTAAGATGACTGCAAACGGGCTGTGTGCGCGTGCAGTGTATGGGCACCTTAAGACTGAAGTTTCTAAAGTTTCTCTTGTAAATAAGGAACACTCTGGCATGTGCAGTGTCCAGGACTTGACCAAGATACTCAAAACGATGTGCGACTAGCGACCATTTCCATTGACTTTATTATTGGCACTGATGAAGGAAAAAAATGACATGCTGGAGATGGCTTTGAAATGGTTTTTACTTTGTTTTAAATAAACCGGAGTTACAGCTGCTGATGCTGGTTTCATTTTTGTTTCTAACTCTATCAGGATCCTGCCTGATATACCGGAAAAGATGTGGAAAGTTCTAGGTGGACTGAAGCTGTAATCTTCTTGAGCTGTGAAGCTCGAGAATGGCCAAAGAGCTAGAAGAAAGAATACGAGCATTCACAGACCTTCCGAAATGCTGATCTGACATTTCCAGTGAATGCTGAATCTGATGGTTATTTGTGTGTAATTAAAAGTGTAGCTGTTAAGAGTACCATTATTGTTATCCGGTGCGACTCAGAATCAAAGTCTTTGTGTCTGATGGCTCAGAAGCCACTAAGGCTGCGGGCAAATTAGTTAACAAATCTGAAGAAGAGGGTGCGGGTTATGAAGTCTTGCATGACTGAGGTATAAACCTCACCTGAAGGGGGGGGGGAAGATAACCCGATTCCCGGCTGTTTATGCCGACGCCATCTGAAGACCCACTGCAAGCAGCCCCAGAGCAGTTAGTAAAATATAATCTGGGGGAACCTGGTACAGTAGTACTGTTCGGTGTACAAGCAGTAGGAGATGTGGCTGGGATTTCTTGTTGCAAAGGCTTGTGCAGGGCCGCACAGAGTAGTTTTCTGGAACAGGGGGTGAAGGTAAATATTTTAGTACTAGGTCTTCACTGAGAGGAGTTGGGATAAAGGACAAAAGTGCACTTACCCTTTAAACGTGACTGCAGTTAGCATTTACCATCACAATGGATTAAGCAGTAATAAAACAAACCTGCCACAGAACTGTTTGCTGACCAGGATGGCACTGCTGCTCGGCGCTGATAGAAGAGGATATAAGCTGTTGGCTTGCACACTTCATCTTCTGCAAGTGCCTGCACTTCACTGTCATCAAAGCAGTACCACATGCCATCCACAGAGTTTTTACAGTAAGCTGAAACAAAAAAGATGATTACAGCAGTAGCCATGTCTGTTGTACTTTCATTACAAGCATCTATTGTAGACCTTTGTATTCATTTTACTATTTGGCAGTAAGCACAGTTGCCTATTTTCAGTAAAGTATAGAAAAAGCCTATGTGAATGTATAAATTCCCCCTATAAACATTTATAAACCACTTTTCTAGCAGGCTTTCTTCGCCAATAGCTGGTGCTGTAAGCAGAAGTCTTTTATAAATACCTGTATAATGACCACCCTGCATAGTTCCATGGTGGTTGCAGACAGCATACAGATCATATATGAAGTCCTCAGGATCACGGCCAAGGCCATAGGGTCTTCTCCAAGGTGACCAATGTGATGGAAGGCTCCAAGAGCTCTGACTGCGCTTCACCACATGGGGGGTCATATCTAACCCCACCAAGGGAAAGCGGATCAAGTTCTGCATCTTCACCCTTCGATCTGCATCCTAAGCAGACACAATTAGATAGGTAGTTATCTACTCAAAAAGGTAGCACATAAGATAACCATTCCACATTTAAGGAAACAATTCTTAACTCACCATGCAATTAAAGAGGTTATCAACGATAACATTAAGCTACATCTACTTATTAAAAAAGGAAGGCTGTTCAGTGATTAATACAAACCACAGACTTGAGATTTTTTTCAAGCATAGGATAAGTGGGGAACCATCTACACAATTTCTGTTGCGTCAGGTTCAACACTCTTCCTTATTCAAGTTATTCAATTGCCGGATCTGGTGCACGCACATTTATCACCTTCATACGGAAGGGTTTGCAAGACTGCATGGGGAATTTTCAACAAGTACCTCCAAAGTTTATCCCTAAAAGTCTAAGCCCTGATTTGGAAGCTATATCATCATCGGCTCAAACCATTTATGGTGTTGCCATAGAATATTCAGATCAATAATTTACACATGATTAGTGACCTGTGTGAAGTCTAAGGCCTTATCTGAAGTCATGCCCTGATGCACCATTTTGGGAGGTGCTGCCATGGGGCTCTTTTCAGTTCTTTCAGTACCTATAGAAGGATCTCCCATAGCAAGTAATCCTTCTGTTTCCTGATAAGCCTCAGATCTTCACACGAAGTCTTAAGCCATCATGTTAATGAGCTAAGCAGTGTAAATCACCAAACTTCTGAGCTGGAGAGGCGTGCTACAGTACAGGACAAATGCCAGCTATAGTAATTAGAGGACACTCAATAGTGTGAACTTACTCATGCACATAAGACTACAGTCAACACATATAAGCAACATCAGTGTGTTAGTTTAGTGCAGGTTCAGTGGTAAAAGCAGAAAATGTTGGCTAGCGATGCAGTAAATGACCTGCCTTGCATAAACTAAATGGTCCGTTTATGAAAAACAACCCAATATAATTAAAGAAGATCTCAGGCTAAAGTGGAAAAAAACTTGAACACTAAAATGATGATCCTAAAGGCTGAATTCTAACTATGGCTGCCATTTATATAGGATTCTAAAATACATCTAACATGGCTTAATCAGTTGACATCCGCGGTGTTAAACCCCCTTCCCATCCAGGCCATTTTTCAGTATTCAGCGATGCGGTACTTTAACTGACATTTATTCCGTCATGCAGCGCTGTACTGAAATTAATTTTATACCCTTTTTTGGGCACAGATAGAGCTTTCTTTTGGTGGTATTTATTCACCACTGGGGTTTTTATTTTTTTACTATATTGAGGAAAAATTACCGAAATAAAAAAAAAAAAAACAGTTTCCCCTATATTAAATGATAAAACATTTATTATTACCCAATTTTTTGGTAAAATATAAAAGATGGGGTCACGTCGGGTAAAAAGACACCAAACATGTCAAGCCTTAAAATTGCGTGCGCGCGCGAAACCTCAAAAAACGATAATACCCAAAATTGGCCATAGGCGACGCTTTAAAAGCTGTTACCGCTCATCAGTTTAGTGTTATCAGTGATTGATGGCCCTAAAATGATTGCTCTCACTGCGACGTTCGCGGCGATATGTAACATGTGTAGCGCAATTGTAATTTTTGCGCGCTGGGGCACCGGACGCGTATTTACGTTTATAGGCGCGTAAACGTGGGGGTGGGGGAGTTAAACATTTTGGGGGGGTTTTTTCCCCTTTTTTTATATGTGGCTTTTATTTTATTTTATTTTTTTATGTGTTACTTTTCTTTTTTTTTATTTATATTTTTTTTTTTGCACTTATTGTTATTGCTATTATATAGGGGGATAACAACCCCCTATATAATAGCAAAGGCACACTGACAGGTCCTCTTTATGGAGATATTAGGGGTCTCTAGGACCCCTAATATCACCTATGGACCCCAAAAGAAGCTGATGAAGCAGAGATCTGCTTCATCAGCTTCTTTTCTCTGGCTATAGCAGCCAGATGACTGACAGGTGAGTGCGAAGTGATGTAATAAACATCACTTCTGCATTCACAGCCCGGACGGAGCTGATCTCCCGTCCTCCTCCTCCCGACGCCCCCCGAGCCGGTTCCGGGCCGCAGATGGGGCAGCGGAACCAGGGATTCAAGGTGAGGGGTCAGGGGGAGAAAAAAAAAACCACGAACGAGCACATATAGACGATCGGCGGGCTATGGAGCCGCTGATCGCCTATATGTTAAACACCCGGTAACGGGTGTTTGCAATGGTCGGGTCTTTTCCGCCAATGCTGCCGTCCGTCCGTTTTTTTACAACGGGCGGACGGCAAGTGGTTAATCAGCTACCCTAATAGGGACTTTTTTTCTCCAAATAGCTCTAGCATTGTGATCTTTGTCAATCATCTATACTGATTACCAGTTTGTAGTTCTGTGTAGCTTTTATGTGAGTCGGCGCACCCCAAACTAATTGTGGGGTCTCCTTTGCTGGACTATCCCTACAGTCATGCTAGAACAAAGAAAGGCCCAAGGCAATGACAAACTGCAAAAAAAAACATGAGTTGATTACCTGATAACTCTGTTTCCAGGAATCTTCCAGGACAGCCATCGAGATATAGGCTCCGCCTGCCTGCAACAGGAAACACATCAACCACATTAAATAAATAGACTCCTCCTTCCATCCCAAGTCAGTAACCTCTAGGACCGAAGGCTACCCCATGCACAAAAGTATCCCCTCCTGCATCCAACCTCGGATGCCACCTGGATACACACCAAGGGCGGGAACTGGCTGTCCTGGAAGATTCCTGGAAACAGAGTTATCAGGTAATCAACTCATGACAATATTAGTACATTTAAAAACTGTTGTAAGATGTGAAGCTGGCAAGAACAGAAGGATATACATCCAGCAGAGGAAAGGTTAATAAAGCCACAGACAGCAGGCTTCTCTAGCAGAAGACGAGTTATAGCATAGATCTGTTGTGTGGTGAGAATTAGATGTACATAGCAGTGGAAGGGCCAACTTACCTGTCGGAATCTCTTTAAATGTAGAATAAGAACGTCAGGCAGAGTCCACAGGCTGAGTTTAATGCTGCCCTGTTGAAGCTGTTTACAGTGGGGACAGCGCCAGGCATTGCCAGGAGCGAGCTGCAAATAGGCGGCATAAGCAGTCAGGCAGACGGATCTACAAGCACTACACATAAAGCATGGGCAGCAAATGCACTAACTGACAAAATAGGAATTTTTGCACTCACCGTAAAATCCTTTTCTTCAAGTCCATTGAGGAACATAGGAAGTCTCAGCTTTGGTTTATACTGCTACCTACAGAAGGATTCGCCTACTACCAGCATGAACTGAATGGACTCCAAGAAAAGGATTTTTATAGCAATTATAAAAATCCTATTTTCTTTCTTGTCCATTGAGGGACGCAGGAAGTCTTTAACCTTTGTGATGTCCAAAAGCAATCCAACTGAGGGGTAGGCAACATAGAAAACAAATGCTAACAGATCCAAGAAAAAACAACAACAGTGAATTGGGGACCTAATGCAGCTAAAAAAAGCTGCCTGATGGACCTTATGCCTAAAACTGGTATCAGATGAGACTTTGAGGCCTACCTGGTAAACTTGCAGAATGTGTGAACAGACCAGGTGGCAGCCTTCCAAATCTGTGGCCCGTTGCCAAAAAGCACTCGCAGAACATGATCCTTGAGACGATAGGCTTGGATGATGGGCAATCTGAGCCACAAGAAATGGCGTATTGAGAAGGTGGTGAATTTTTACAGGGTCTGTTTGTGATTACAGAAAAGGGATTCAGTCTTTCTGAAAAAAAAGCTGTGGCTGAGACAGAAACCCTCACAACCCAAACCACATCCAGGCAATAGAGTGAATTATCTTTGGGTGAACAGAGGTTAGAACGATGTCCTGGTTAAGGTGAGAGGCAGAAACTACCTTAGGCAAGTAGGAAGTGCCGGCCACATCACTTTTTTACATATGCAAAATTTGAAAATGTTCCTTGCAGGCAAAGACAACCAGTTGAGAAGTTTGCATGCAGCGGTGATGGCTAAAAGGAATACTACCTTGTAGATGAGTTTCTGAAGCACATAGCGGTTTCTAAATGACAAACATGTGTGCAGACCCAACTGCAGAAAGCAGAAAATTCATCCCAATCAAGTGATGTATGCCTTTCACTTCCAAAGTATGCCTTTCCCTCCCAAAGTTAAGGCTTATGGGAAGTAGCCCACCGCTGTGGCACTGTCTGAATGATTCTGGATCAGATGACTCCACAGGAGGATGGTCCAGTGCTTAAGAGACAGCCAGATCACTTGAAGTTACAATGTTTACGCTAATGAATAAAAAAATCCTGTGCATAAAACAGAGTGCTTAGGACCCCTGCTCCTCAGCCCAACACTCTGACATCTGTTGAGGATCTTCCAAAAGACAAGAAGGAAGGACTTTTCCAATTATAGAGATGGATTCCAGAATCATCAAGCCGGGAACAACCTAGTCGTCAGGGTAAAAAGAATTTGTCTGACCACGGACTGACTTGTCCCACGATCACAGTGTTGCGTTTTACAGATGGGTGAAACTGGGCAAACAAGACTGCCTCGAAGATGGCTACCATCAGACATAAAGCTCGCATGCAAAAGCAGAGGGCTGGACGACTCCTGGACTAGAGACCTCAAATCTGAGACTGGAGAAAGTCTGAAGTTCCTCCTGTGGGAGAAATATTGTGGTCTGCACTGTGTTCAAGGCTGGACCCAGGACTGTTGAATAAAAACTACTATGGTGGATGCTATTCAGGAGTCTGGCTACTTTCTTCTTTCTACTGATTATCAGGGTGTTTTCAATCACTATGGATATATAGTTGGAACAGTGGACAGACACCTGCAGAGAAAAGTGTCAATTAAAAACAAACTCTGAAGAAAAATACCTAATTAACATTGCTTAGTCTTTTACAAAGCAGAGATGAAGAAAAGATGTCTGCCTAGGACACAAGCAAAAAAAAAAAAAGAACCTGAAGCATGCTGGAAGTAGCTGGTAGTATATAAGGGGTTATCCTGAGCTGGCCTGCAGGTTGTTTGCCAATGTCAGATCCTCCTGTGGGTGGCAATATAATCAGAAGGCGAGAACTTTGTGTCCCTCAATGGATGAGAAAGAAAATGAATAACCAATAGACTTGATTAAAACATTCCGAAATTACTGGAGACTTCCAATTACATTTTTATACATTGATATTTTATTTTGGTTCTATTAATTTTAACATCCTGAAATTATACATTAAACCAAAAGGATCGTTTGTCCAGAATAAAAAAAAAAACACTACAATTGTCAAAACCCCTTTTTATATGTTCTCACTGTCCATACAAGCAAAGAACTGTGGGCGACAATGTTATGATCTAGGAACAGAACGTAACTCATATGCTACTGCTAACAGTAGGGATGCACCGATACTTTTTAGATACCAGTGCCGATACTTGGCATTTTTATGAGAACTACCAGGGTTGCAGCTGGGACCTGGCTCTGGCGCTCCTCCACTGTCCTGAAATCCTTAGTCTGTATTGTTTTAGAAAAAATGTCACATGACAATAAACAAAAATGTAGCAGTACTTGTAAGTACATGGGCAAGTATCAGTACTTGTACTTGCAAAACTGGTATCGGTGCATCCCTTTATTTATATTTATAAAAACAAAATCATGCATTATAACAGAGATGTACAAATCCCCGGAGCTCCGTGTGTCCTTACAAATGACAGCTGCCTCCTAACTTTTGAATTTTTCTCTAGTGTAGTCTTGGAGCTCAAAAAGTATCTGTATTTGTACCGGGTACGGTACTTAGTATCGGTGCATCCCTAGCTAACAGCCTACATTTCATTATGCAAGCAGCTTGGCACCTGCAGCATCCCTTTAAGAAAACCTGTCTGGTGACAAATATGTAGGCTTTCAAGTTAAATATTTTCATTATTTTGGGAGAAAGAATAGACAACAAGACATGAGCTACAGATAACTGGTTTTCCTTATGCAGGAGGATTGAGTGCAAGAACAACATTCAACAAGCATAATATTTAAGCTTATAACATGAGACATAGATTAAGTTAAACCTTACTGAGGCTTGCTGCTTCGATGGGGCAATCTGCTCAATGGGTAGGCTAGGAGATTCTGACACGTCTATAACTTTGATTTGCTGCATACCTGTCATGGGTCTGGGGCTCAGATGTTTTGAAGCCAAAGATAAGTATTTAGTGCATTCAGGAGGCCATAAATAGCAGCCCACATATTTCTTTCAGAGCAGGAGTTCATTAAATTGCTACGTCCACTAAGAATCGAAAACACTGCATCACTCACTGGCTTTTGAAACCTCTCCAGCAGAGAGAAACCTCACACTAGAGTTCATGCCACAAAAGGGAATATCCGATTGCTTTATGGGATCGGGGAGAATTTTTTTCCAGTTAGAACAAATTGAACCATACTTTATTAGGGTTGTTTGCCTTCCTCTGGATCAACTCTGGGCATAGGGTTTTGTTTATGGAGGTTTTTCTATTTTCTTTTTCTCTCTAAAGGTTGAACTTGATGGAATTGTGTCTTTTTTCAACCTAACTATGCAACTCTAATTACTATATGAGGTACTGAATGGCTTCAAAAGTGCAGGAAGATATAACAGGAGGTCGCCTGATTACAGACAGATTGGGGAATACTAATGTATCTGTAAGTTTCCCTGATATCTCCTGCCTCAGCTTTCCCTAGGAAACAGGCCAATCAATCTTCATCCACGTACTGTCAAGCAACAGGATCACTTTAATACCTGGCCTCTTGTACATATAATGACTACCCTTTGCTCCCTGCCAACCTGCTTGGCACTGGAAGTGAAGAGAAGTACCTGGTACTTCTGGTTACAATGGATCACATGACAACGCTAGTATATGGCAATTGGCTGCTTTAATACAATGTTTTGGCAGAATTTTAACATAGGCAAAGCTCCCACTAGCTCCTGCTTTCCACACATTGCTACTGGTTCATCACAATGACAGACTGCCTCTTATGACTATTGGTACTGCCAAAGTTTTGCCTGCTGTAACAGCAGTATTTTGGGGCTGCATGTATGTGTAGGCACCTCTAGTTATCTGTACTTTATTGCAGCAGTGGTTTAAAACTTTTTCTGTAGGTAAAAAGAGCAAGTGTCCATTATACACACCCTAGCTTCCTTGTCCCACCCAAATAAATCCACCATAAGCTGTCAATATAACTGCTCTCTTTTCCGCATCTATTTTATTGGGGTTTTTAATCGTTCTCCGGTTCAAATTTTCTGCCTAATAAATAAAAGAGACAATTACAGATGTCTTGAAATGCAAGCATACTTGGATCAAAGAAAGCATCTGAAGGATTTCTTTAGATGCAAAATACTCCAAACTTGCTGACAGTTTCCATATGAATTTACACATCTTAAAACTGAACTATGGGATAAGCAAATATTGTCCAATACAGTCCTGTGTATTCTTTCTTGAATCTCTGTGGACTTTGTGTATTTCTTCCAGATCCGTGCGGTAATCCAGTGTGAAGCATTGTTTCTGTGCAGGAGCTTTCTGTAATAAAGACCGGTCACTGCTGCTTTCTCTCCTTGTGCAGGGTGACTGGTCTTGTCTCCACCTCCCCCTGTAGTTTTCTGGAGGCAGCATATAGCAGGTGGGTCTTTTGAGCCCCTTCCACAGCTCTGCTCTCTGCACAGGCTCTGAACAGCACAGTGATGGTGTCATTGCCACTTTTAAAGTAGGGTTGCAAAGGCAATTGGTGCACATAAAAGGGGAATATATTTTTGCCTAAAGTTCAGCTTCATGCAGGGGTATTATGATATTTTATAAATATTCAAGAACAGGTACATTTTAAGAGAAAAGTCTCAAAAATGTGTCTGCGTTTGGAAATCAAGGGGGGTTGCTATAAGTAACCTATTTGCATCTGAAGGACTGCTAGTAATGCTTACCTCATACGACATAAATCATTAGTTTTCATTGTGAACTTTTGATCAGTATGGATTTTCAGAGCATGAAAACAATCAACTAAAATGTCACTGAGATTATGGCCATTAGTACTACTTTTGTTCTTAAATCGGCTTAGGTGTTGCAGTCAAATTAAACCGGTTCTAAAGAAATAAGGAGCCTAACATTTTTTACCTCTTTCTGAAGATGCTTGTTTGCCTGGCTGTTACCATAACGCCTCTTATTTCAATAAGCAAATCAATGACAACATTAAGTGTGCAAATAAGAAGTACGGATGCCATTCTGACCTAATTTGCAGGATAGTTTTCGAGCTCCTACTCCTAAAAACTGAAGATACTAGATTCGCATTACAGCAATTAGCCTTCACAGAAAGCAGGTGAGCAATGGCAGCATCCACGTTTCTCTCAGCACAAGTTTCTTTTAAGTTTAGCGTATGCTCAAGTTAAGGATTAGGCTTAAGTTAGAGTGATCCTAAAGTAAAATTTTAGGCCCACATTTTCAAAAAAGAATGATTATGGCTGGATTAAGAACAAAGGAGAACATGTTGCGATTACCAGAGCTGACAGAAGTGCATGGAACTTGAGTGCAAAGGTTTCATTAACAAAGAAAGCTGCTGGGTGTTTCAACCTAAAGTTTCAATATCCAGTGGACTTCGCTTTTAAATTACTGGTAAAAATATCAAGACTGCAGCACCCAGCACGCTAGGGAGTGCAGTACACAGCTCACCTGCTCCTCTTTGGTATACAGCTGAAAACACTGGGAGAGGCTGCAGCACTGTGGCTGGTGGTGAAGCTCTCGCTGCAGACGTACACTCTCAGAGTCCGGAACATACTCCTCTTCTGTGTTACCAAAAAGACTGCAAGATAGAACAAAAAGCACAAATAAAACATACTGAAGAAAGTCGATTGTTTATTACAGAATCTGATTGCTGAAGTTCAAATTACACACACAGCTCAGAAGACTAACTCATCCCCCCATGGAAGCCTGATGACCGGGACCCTGCGAGTCCCCGACAGTCATTAAAATGGACTATTGCTGAACACTACAGCTTGGTGTGCTGGTGACATCCTTTTCTACTTCTGATTTTGTTCACGGTGCCCCCGTGGTCACTGCTAGCACCCATTTGCTATCTACAACAATCCGGTAAGGAGTGCTGCAAGATACACAAATTTTTGCAAAGCTTCAGTGGAGACACTTTTTTCTCATGATCACTCTTACAGGAGTGAATTTTTCCTTCCTAGGGGTAAGATTTCCTTTCACTTCCTGTTGTCTCTAGAATAGGAAGTGAGATTAAATCTTTCTAACGAGGATACAAACAGCAGTAAAAACCTCACAGTGACCCGGAAGAAGAGGCGGGCACCACTTGTCTGCACGTCTGTGAAGAGCCAACTTCCTGTAATGTACGTACAGTACTACGAACCACACCCAAAAAGGCGGGCACTCCTCACCAGCACGAGCGCGGAACATTACAACTACCCCTGCTATATAGTAATAGCCTCCCTTTGTAAGTAGGAGTCGGATGTAAGTCGGATGTATGTAACTCGGGGGCTGCCATTAGTCTACATAAAAAACAGTCCAGACCACTCACCAACTGAAAATATTTGGTTCATCTTGAAACAAAGAAATACGACAAAGACGACCAAGGACTGTTGAGCAGTTAGAATCCTATATCAGGCAAGAATGGGACAAAATTCTTCTCCCAAAAAAGACGTTTTCAGAGTGTTGTTAAAAGAAAAGGGGATGCTACACCGTGGTAAACATGGCCCTGTCCCAACTTTTTGGAGACGTGTTGCAATTTCAAAATGACCTTTTTTCTTAAAATGGTCCATTTTCGGAGTTTAAACATCTGATATGTTTTCTACTTTCTATAGTGAATAAAATATCGATTTATAAGATTTGCAAATCATTGTTTTCATGTCGATTCTACACAGCGTCCCAACTTTTTTGGAATTTGGGTTGTGAATCGCTTATTTGACCTCCGTGAAGACTAGAAAGCCTCACCTCCCATTCTATTCTAAAGACTTATTCCAGGCCACCTACTCACTTGGCAGTGAAGCCAGAGGATAAAAAGGACATCCACAAAGCCAGCATCTTTAAAAACACCTCAGCAATGGCAGCTCCCTTACCTCCATCCAGATGTTTCTTCAATTATCTAGGAAGGTATTAGAAAACATAATGATAGAACCAACGCAGAGTCCGAGGATTTTCATTCATCTTAACATGAGAAGCTCGGTGCGGACACAACACTGAATTCTAAGCTTTGCTGCTGCGGTCACGTGTAACCTCTTAAAAAGCCGATAAAAAGCTTTAAGGCCGTCTTTGCGGAGATGCTGGAAATGAAAACTGGTTCTTAGGGTGAGGGATTAAAGCAGCTGATGAGATGTGATTTCCCCCAAGCCTGTCATTACTCTAAGTAATGCTGTAAATAAGCAGGGATAATCAGGAAGTGGTGGGCTGCTCTTAGCTGCGAGCTGTCAAGCTGCACTCTTGTAGAGCGTAAAAGCTTCCTTTGCCATTCTACTGAACAAAGCAGACACAGGAAGCTGCCCTGCTGCAGCAGCTCAGGGCTAGAAGACCTTACATCATGCCGGGAATGATCAGAACTACCAAGATGGATGGTCTAGTTTCCCGCAGGGAAGAGCTACCAGCACAGCCAAATAAATGATCTTTGTTTTATTTAGAGATGTGCTCACTTTGCATTTGTCTCTGTTGGCAGTATTCTAATAATTTGGAGAATAGATCTGCGGTCTGCTGGGAAAATCGGCCTACGTTGTCTGAAACAATACTTAAAGCGTATAACCGAGCCCAAGAACAAAAATATAATATATTGCAGCTTACCAATACTTGATGTGGTGGCTGCATTAGTTCTCATGTTGCAGACCCCCTCCTCCCCCCTTATAATTACATTCTAATCCTGCAAATAACACATTTTCTGTCCTAGGCTGACAAACTTTCAAACTGTCCTGTATCCATGGAGGAACATCATTGTCATCCTAGTACTGGAACTGTGTGAAGAATCCAGCTCTCCTCTCTGAAACATAGAGGGAGGTGTGCTATAGTTCAGCAGTCACTTTGCCTGATGAAGGGACCACTGGTGGTTCCGAAACATTGCTCTCTTTGTATGACATGCTGAATGAACATCAGTGAAGGCGATTTTACGGCACAAAAATGTAAGTTTGCTGGCAAATATTTTCTTCTCTCTGCTATGGTCGCCATCTGCTAGTTACTTCAGGCACCCCACGTTTGGGGTATTCCGGTTTGACGTGTGATGGAGATATACTGTATTCGTGACCGTCGTTCAGTAGAGGAGAACTCTGCTTAAAAGGATCATTAAAGCCTCCCGTGTTTTTGCATATATCTACTGCTAGCAAGCAGTAGATATATGCAGATAAGAAAAAAAAAGTACCGTAAACAAAAAGGGGTTAAAACTTACCTGTGTCTCTGCCGCACGCTCAGGTGCGAAGATCTGAAGATTCTCGGGCGCCCGCATGCAAAGTTCAGATCTTCAGCCAGGAGATGAGGAGAGACACAAGGTAAGTCAATAGAGGCAGCGTGCACCCGCACAGACTCAGTGGGACAGGAAGAGAGACGAGTCAGTGCTGGATCGGATCCTTTTCCCTATAGTTCTCTAAAGGGTCACCGGAGGACTTATACTAGCGTCCTCCTGTGACCCAAAGCTCAGTATATAGCGAGCTACAGGTCCCGTATACTGCGATTGTTGCAGCCGGGATGGATCCTGACCATGCTTTCGAGATTCACCCAGCTGCGTGAATGACAGCTGACTCTCAACAAAGTCCAAATCCCATTCGCACTGCCACGGTCTCATAACCACAAGGTATATGTGGTGCCCAAGTGACCACACGGATGGACGTTCGCTCACCTCCCAACCTATTGAGCCGACGTGCGAGTTTCATTGTCACACGTCGGCTCGAACTATGAGGATGGTTGATTTTCACTCACCTCATAGTTCTCCTTTAATGTCACTTTAAGAGCACAGGACAGCACTGGATTTTCAGCAGGATCTACAGTTTTTTTGCAATTTTAGGGCTCATTCACACAATCTGCTTTCGGGTTGAGCTGGCCATTTTTTCCAGCGCAATTTGCCTGGCCATGGATGGTGACATTTCCGACCACTGCATTCCGATGAACCACAAGCTCTATCCAGTCCATGAAGCCAAATCATATGCTTAATTTAGTTTGTCAAGCTTTAGCCAGACTCAGCAAGTTTCTAATGCATTTATGTGCAAAAATACC